TGTTTGATAATATATTTAGTCAAACCTGTAAGGCCTTTACTGATATACAGCATATATAAATGGTTCTGCCTCTTGATATACAGCAGCACTTACATTTTCTCTGCATCTTTTTCATCCTATAAACTACATCATTGAGGCTTAATCGACTGGAATCATACCGTTGAAATATAGAAGCAGCTTTGTTTTCTGCATAACTCTTTCAGTTGTCTATATTATATTGCTGTTGTGATGAAATGGTACTAAAGAAATTCAAGAACTTCTTCCTGTTGCTGTTTTTACATTTTCCTTCTTGCTAATTTCTGCTTTGTTGCTCTGTTTGTGATGTTTACACTTACAGTATGTGATTAATGTGAAATTCAAAGCTAAATAAATGTTATGTTGTGTAACTCGGTTCCCTCCAAAAGAAAAAATGATGGGCTGATACTAAAAGAGAGACAAAAATAGAGAAAGAGAGTGAATACATGGTGACATTTTTGTACTTCGACTAGTTTATCAAGGCTTTGTTTTTAACTTCTGATCCATCAATGCCCTTAACGGTTAAGTTTCATAGTTATCATCCTGTTTTCTAAGTTCAGAATTTATATAAAGATTGAGAGGATGTGCACTATTTGTCTGTCAGAAAACAAAATACAGAGAACAAAGAACAGACTCACACTCTGTTTTTCTAATTATAATCATTTTTGCTTTCAATTTTTTGTGGTGACAACTGACAAGTCAAGAATCTATTTGTGGACAAGAACTCATGGGCATCGATATGCCTTGCCCCACCTTAATGTTTCCTCAGCTCCAGAAGCTATACAACTTGCATCAATAGTGGGTCATGATGTGAAAAATTATTATGTGCAGACTCGGACTGTATCCGGAGACCAACTAGAATGCGCCACGTCACTTTTTTGCTTAATACCGGTTCTCAATACTGTTAGGTACCGGGTGAAATGATGCATTTTGGTTGGTCTCCAGACCGTTCGACATCCACATAGAATAATTTCTCATGATGCAGCCATGTGTTTTCTATGCGGAGCCTTGACGCAGAATGTCGTCCGAAGACCAAACAGAATGCTCTACATCAGCTGTACCGAGCCGCGATATTGAGCGGTACCGAGCAATACCGAGCTGCGACACAGAGCAAAGGGGCGACGTGGCGCATTCTGGTTGGTCTCCGTACGACGTTCGGCGCCCGCATAGAATAATTTTTCCAAGTATAAAGCAGAGTGCCAACCACAGTTATATGTACTGTTCTTTTATATATATAGAAATTTCCTATTTCAAAGCCTAGCTACAATCAATTGGCTCAGTTCTTTTGTAATGTGAGTTCCTTAAGATCTCTGAAACCCTCACTTTGAACTATGGCCACCTCCGTTTCAACTGTGGGGTCCGTCAATAGAGTACCAGTACTTCTCTCTTCTTGCTTTTAATTCAAATGATTCTATATACTTTAAGATACAAAACTAACTGCGAACTGTGGTTCAATGATTTTTCTTGTCGAAGTGTTGAAACATAGCCTACAGGGCTTTTTCTTGAACTGCGGGGCATTTTAATCAAAATGCAAACAAAATGCAAACTTCTTCTACTTAATTCGGAATACAATTATGAGAGTTACAGATGGTATTTTCTATGTGAGCAAATAGTCTTGGATCCTAAAATAATTTAGTCAAGGCAATTCTGAGCCATTTTTTTCCCAAGTTACAATCTTGTTTCTTTCTATGAATTTAATTAGCTTTGTTTTTTGCTCGTTTGTTTTATGAATGATTCATGATTCTGAAAGTCTGTCTTCTCTTTTGCTTCGTCGTTGCAGCAGAACTTCCATGGCTCAAGCTCAGGAGCTTCAGCACCGAGCTTAGCAATCTTCGGAAACAGCTTGAAGAAGACGAATCCATGTGTTAGCCTACAAGAATTTCCTTTAAGCTTTCAGATTCATTACGACTGATTTTGCTTACGTGCGGTAATCATTTCATAGGTCCCTCTTATTTTGGGTAAATGGGGAGGCAAAGGCCAGTGGAAATCCTTCCAATGAGAGCTTGTATTTGCCAAGATGGGTATAAAGTAAGTTTGCTTGGATTACTCTAATGACTGTTATCAGTGAATTAACGGTCACAAAATTCAATTTTGATCTAACAATGAGGTTAGTAGAGACATTTTATTTACTATATCACTACTATTAAGATGTAAGAAATCTACATGAGTTTGGTTACAAATAAGATTAAGGTTTTGTTTGGGTCAACTTTTTTACTGCTTTTTAAAATAATTTTTTTAGTATACAAATTTTTTGTACTTGAAAGCTGGTTTAGACACAGCTCTTCTTGGCTTGTTGGTTGAGAGCTAAGGCTTTCAACTAAGAGGTCTAGAGTTCGAGTCTATGTGTATGCGATGTGTGTGTGAATTTGCCTTAAATGACCTATATTATCTAAAAAAAAGAAAAGAAAACTGGTTTAGAAAACAATAAGAAAGTTGTCACAGACGAAGCCTACATTAAGAGCCCCAGAATAGACTCATATGGAGCCTTACAAACCAACAAGCTGATGCACAATCTCTGAACTAATGTGTTTGTTTACATGTTTTCAACAAATTTTCACAGATATTTCATATGGACATAAAATATTTTATTAAAATAAGATATTTCACTAAGAAAATGTAATTGTGAAACCTTATTGTTATGTAAAATATCTTATATTAGCACTAAAAACCCTCTAGATTTGCATTAGACCAGGAGTTAGACAACAACATCAAAGAACTCCATATTGATCATTTGTTGATTTAGAAAGGAAATTAATATCTTTTGGGTTGAAATGACGAGTTTTAAGTTATAAATTTGACATTAGTGGAATTCAAATTCAAAATGTTGGCAACAACTTTCAAAATTTTAACTAACTCAACTGTTTGACACCCACAGTAAATACATACTTCTTCTGTTGATGTTTAAAAAAAAAAAAAAAACTCATTTCTATTGGAGGGATGGTGCTAACTACATATATCTTGTTTATATAATATTGTTATGCTAAGTTATCTATATGATGATGAAGTGAGGAAGTGGGTTGAACAAGTTGGAGTTGAGGAGAAATTATTAGGTGTGGATACCGGATAGAGAGAATCGTTCGATTTTCTCTCTGTCTACAATAAAAACGCAATCAAAGCGCAGCTACTATAATAACTGCGCGCTTTGACTGTGCTTTTACTGTAGACAGGGAGAAATTCGGATGATTCTCTATGTCCGGTGTCCGCACCTAATAATTTGCCGGAGTTGAGATGATTGGGAAGAAGCTTGTGAAACCGCGTGAGGGGCCTCCAATATTCGAACAGCCCAAAATGACCATTGAGAAGCTCCTTGAGTACAGGAACAGGAGAATGTGAAGAGGGTTCAGCTGGCTGATAAGTACTTGAGCGAAGCTGATCTTGGAGATGCCAATGAAGACGCTTTGAAGAACGGATCTTTCTATCATTAGCTTCCATAGCCTCCAGGACCTGACAAAGGTTTTGCACTCTGCTCAATTTTCAGAAAATAATAATTCAGATGGTGATCAGCCTCTGTTATCATGGGCTAGGTCTTTGGAAGGTTAATGGCTTACATATTTGAAATATTTGTGCAGGCCAAGCAGTTCAGCAAGTTCTGTTTCCAGAGCCAGAAGGTTTTGCACTGATCCATTTGCAGAAAACTTTGATCCCACAGCAAGAAGTGATGATGAAAGCTATTTGTAACAGTTTTAGGGCTCTTAGATATATTGTGTGTGAAAATGTTGGTAGGTTTGGTGGTAAGTTTGAATTTTGTGATATTTATAGATATGATTGTATGCTCGAGTGTTTAATTTGGTGTATTTTGATTTCTCTATCTTTATTAAAAATACTAACCATTTTTTATTTAATTTAAAAATATTTAAAAAGACATATTTAGGAAATTTTTTAAGAAATTTTTAATTGGAAAACAATTTTTAATATATAAAGCATTTATAATGAATTATAACATGCTAATCTTGGGTGTTAAAATTATTAAAATGTATATTTGTGTTATTAACCACTGAGTCCTAAACTCCAAGTACAAAATAAGTTATATAGGATTATCCTTCCATCCAACAAGAGATGAAAGAGATTGAAGGATGTTCAAAAGCCCTGTTGGCTATTCAATTCATCTATTGAGTCAGTGACTGTCCAATGACTCACCAATAAAGCTGACCAAATGTGCTTATTAATATTCTGATCATACCCACTAATGCTTAGCTTGGTTGGTGGATGAGTACGGTTGAGAACCCCACAACCCGTGTTCGATTCTCCTCGAGCGACAACGCCTCTTAAGAGGGGTCCCAATAAGTGCGAGCGAAGAGGTTATGTAGCAATAGGTGATTCTTCTAGGTAAACTGAGGGATTAGTCATGCCGCCAAGCGCCTCATAAGCTGAGGTGGTAGCTGGTAGATACTCTCATTCAAAAAAAAAAAATTCTGATCATTCTGTTCACCTGGTTGTAATTATGATATTGTAATTTTTTTCTCTTACGTAAAAATCAAACAATAATTTTCTTATAATTATTTTTCATCACAATTTTTTTTAAATAACATAAAAAAATTATAGTTAAAAATAACTCTTGTAAAAAAGTTACACCAAATGGATCATAGATCTTGAAGTTCTTAAACTATGGCTTTTTTTGGGACAACTTTCATGCTACTTTCTAAAACAGCTATCTAATATAAAATTTTCTAATTCATGAAACTTTTGTACTAGAAAATTATTTTAGAAAGCAAAAAAAAATTGTCCTAAACAAAGCCTAAGATGCTAAAACGGTATAGAAAATTCCTTGACATGATTTATCATCTAACAATCAATTAGAACATACTCAAAGATGGCATAAGCAACAAAAACCAAATAACTAAAATCTTATAACAACTTATCAAAGAGAATAATTCTTTCAACACTTGACACATTTTGAAAGGTTCCGTATCAGTTGGGGTGAAAAGGGGAAGAGGCTTTGATAGGTAAGTTGTTTGTTATAATCAAACATTGAAAGAATAAAATCAAGACTAAATGATTCAGAGTTAAAATTTATTCCTCTTGATTTTCATTTCAACTTAAACATACACATTCAAAATCATCTACAAATTTACAAGCACCTTTTCAATTGGCTGAACAATGTTGCCTTAGACTTGTTCAAGCGTCTTAAACAACCAGCCCTCATCATGAAGAACTAATCTTCTAGCCTAGTACAACAACAAAATCAAGTAAAAGTGGTACCATCCTGGTTATCTTCCTCTTCTTTGATTTCATCATCTTCCTCTATGCCTCGACCAGCTCCACGAATCGCATCATCATCAAGGGCTGCAAGATTCCACATTTAAATAGAGGATTCACCAATTAATTATTTCAAGTATAGAGAAGAAAATATTACCTGACATTAACGTTTCAACTTCATCTAATGAAAATTCAGATTGTTGTTCAATAGGCCCTGGTTGATTGAAAACCAACCAGCTACAGCAATCGGCATCCGGTGAGAACAGTGGGTGATTCCCCACCCAGTCATCAACAATATCAATGTTATCAACTGAAATTGGATCAAAGCATCTGCTCTTCAAAAAATGCCTGTAAATTCACATAACAAGACCATTAACGCATGGAAGAAAAATGTTTCTGCAAAGAAAATCTGGTCTTAGTCAGAAATCAAAATATTCTTCTTGAAAAGCTCTTGGTTCAGTTCTTTACTTGCCTCTGCTGTAACCGAAGGTTATAGCGAACATATACTAGTTCACATAGCCGTTGACGCTCTGCAAAATTTAATTTTTCATTATGAAGTTGTTCAAAAGGTATATGAGTTCGCTCAGGTCCCCTTGCACTGCAGGTTTGACTAAGAATGTGAATAGCCAAACGTGTCAAGTTTGGGCAACTCCCCCCATATGTAGACCACCATTCAGCTATGGCAAGAAATCAATAAAGAATGCATTCAATTACTAAAATCTAGGCCACATAAACAGAAAAGAAAATTACTTGATTGCGAGCTTTCTCACCCGGAAGTAAAGCATGTCTAGCCCTGACTGCAATTTTCCTTGAAAAATCTCGATCTGCAACCCGATAATAATTTAGCTCCTTCTGAATTTTATCTTGAACCTTTGCCTCGGGCACTAATCTCTCTATACAATCCAACATTCCTGAAGAAATTTCATTGGAGATTTGCCCCTGCGTACTGTAAAATAACTGCGGATTCAAGAAGAAACCTGCAGCATGAAGAGGGCGAGGAAGATGTTTATCCCATCTCCAATCAATGAGTTCCCAGTATGGCATGTAATCACTCTTCTTCACAAACTCCTTTCTTATTGCTTCCTTAGCCAGATACAAACCTAAATAAACATACCCCATTGCTGGCCTCTTTTTGCTATCTACTAGCTTCAGCAATCGCACCAGCGGTTCAGTAATCCGATTGATTGCAGCACATGACATCCAAAATGACAAATTTACAATAAGATTAGCCATTGCAACCCCATCGGGCTTCTTCGAGTAGGGTGATTCTACCCATTCTTCAGAGGTGACCATGTTTCTTAACTCGTCTTGCAAGCAAACCAAGTTCTTCAAAGCAACAAAGTTCATAGCTGAACGGCTGCTGGCAGGAGGTAACAAATCTTTCCCATGAGTATACTTCTTCATCATATTTAAAACAGGCACATTTCTATAGATGAACCTGGTTAAAGATTTGGCACTCTCTATTGTATCAATCATTGAATCCATTTTAGAAAAATCTTCCAATATACCGTCAATGCACTGAGAAGCACAAGGACTCCAAAATAAAGTGGGGAAGGTCTCAGTCAATCTTTTCCCAGCAATGGCATGGGTGTCTGAGTTACTGGTAATCACCTGAACCACATTGCTTGGGCCAACATCCTCCACCACATGCTTCAACAGCTCATACAAAGTATCAGCAGTAGCAACAATCTCCGTGGCATCGACGCATCTCAAAAACATAGTTCCCTCAGGGCAATAAACCATGAAGTTTATCAAAGTCTTCTCCATTGTCGACCACTCATCGGCCAATATTGAACATCCTGTGTGACTCCAAGTCCCCTTGTAATGCTCCAAAGTGAGGTTCACCTCCTCGACCGACCTCTTCAAAATGCCACCACGGAAATCATGATAGGAGGGGAGATCAAGCCCAGGCCCGAAAGCAGCAATGGCTTCCACCATAGGCTGAAAATAAACAGAATTAACAGCTTCAAGAGGCACACCAGCCTCGTACAAGAACCGTCCAATTGAAGAATAAACATGTTCCTTATCTACCGCTCTAGCCGAATTGGACCTGTTTACCCAAGACCCATCATTGCCCAAGGTAGGAGAAGGTCCCATGTGATTCATAGAGGAACTCTTCATCCGCCGCTTCCTTACCCTCTCAGCTGACTTCGCTGCACGAGGCAGGGGAGCTGCAGTCCCATCCTCCTTGGTTTCTATCTGAACAGTACCAAGATCAAGCATTTCATTAATAGGTACAATCTGCAGAGAGGAATTAGAGGATGGATCAATTTCGCCGGCGACTGCAGAGATTTCCGCAGGAATCAGATGACCAACCTCCTCTGCGAGCTTAATCTTCCGCTTCTTCCTAACAGCAGCACCATCAAGGCTATGCTGCATCGCCTGCTGGACCTCGAGGGGAACCTTAGGGCAACAGGCAGCGTTTCCCTTGTGACGCGCGAGGTGCTCCTTGATTCGGTGGATGCCGCCGCCGAGGAAGAGTTTCATGCAGTAAATACACTTGAGCTTCGTCCGGCCGCTGGAACGGATCATCAGGCAATGCTTCCATGCCGGGTCGTGCTTCTGGTTGCCGATCGGCAACACGATCTCCGACGTGGTCATCATGGAAAAAACTCAAAAAGAGGGAACTTTTGAACCACCAACGGAAATAACTGGCCGTTCTCTAACCCTAGGGTTACGTGGTGGAGATGGAATGGTTCATTGGGGTGTTTCCTGCCTGGGTTGACTGGACTAGCGAAGGGAAGTCAAACTCGGGAAAGGGAAGGAAATGAGTTACGGAGTCACTTGCCTGGGTTTTCGCGATTCACGAGGCGCCCTGGCCGACCACCGGCTCTCCTCGGGGAGGTTTTCTTTCGCCCTTAACGCAACCCACGATGAAAGAGCAAGCGGTTCGGTTTGGACTTTATAGAAGAGAGAAGGGTTCAGGATTTCCCATCGGCTAATCCGGCTATTGCTACGAAGCCGGTTTTCCTTTTAAAGTTCCTACTAATAAGACCAAGACCATTTAAAACCCACCCCCACCCATCGCCAGCTGTAGAAAATAGTCGCTGGGTCTAAAACGATTGGTGGTTATTTGTCGTTGTAAAATTACTGGATGGGGGAATTAGATTGTGATCGAGCCATGCGGACCCAGCCGGTGAATCTAGGGTTTGGACCGGTTTTCGGTAGAGTAAACCGGGACTGCCGGTTGCTGGGGCAGCGGCCGCGAGAGGGTCGGTCTGTTCGTTCGGGTGGTGTTGGCTCCGGCTCAGATCGGCCGGCAAGTTTCTTCTGACTCTGGATTGGCTTTTGCTTATTGTTTTCTTCTATTTAGGAGGGAAAGATCGCACCTTTCCTTCAAGCGATATATTTTTGGCGCTTCCGCTGCAGAAGATTGATCGCCGGGGGAAAAACTCATCGAGAAAGGGAGGTATGCGGATCCTTGCGTGTTTCTGCGTTTCAGATCGTTTTCATGCCCTATTTCTGATTTTTGTTTTTTGGATATTGCTTGGTAGTTGTTTGGTGTTGGCTTTCATGGCTGCATTGGGGTTACGATTTAGAGAAAGAAATGTAGTTTGAAGGGTGGAGAACTTGGATCAGGGTGTCAAGTTTTGGTTTCGTTGACGCATTTGTGTGCGTTGGGATAAAATTGTTTGGATCATTATATTTATCAATCTTTCATTTAGCAGAATGTTTTTTTTTTCTCGGCAATATCGAAAATGCAGGCGCTTTTTAATTCATTTTAAAATAAAAAAGGTTTATTTGATAAACTCAGTTTTGAAGTTTGGTTTTAGGGATCGGACTTCTGAAACTCAATTTAGACCTTTGTTTTGGTGGCTAATTTTGGAAAGCTTTTGACGCTTGGAATTAACTTTAAGCCTGAAGGGTTCTAAACTCTGAAACCATTTTAGGAATTGATGTCACAAGGTAATGTGTCTTGGGCGCATGCTTTTTTAATGGCGAATAGCACATTGTAGCATAAAGGCCCTTGAAGTTGATTAATTATGTTGTGCGGATGCCAAACTCCATACGGCGAACAACTAGAATGCGCCACTCACCTCTTCGTTAGGTACCGCTGATGTGGCATATTTTGGTTGGTCTCCGAACAACTTTTTGCGACCGGCCTCCGCACAGAATAACTTCTCCTTGGAGTTATAGTGTGTGGCATAATGCGCACTATTAACTATAGAGCAAAATATTAAAATTTAATGAATAACTTATTAATATAAAATAGATAATATCTTGACACAAAAAACTATCATCAATGCTATATAAATAGAATATGAATTTGAATATGCTTTAGCATATTTGAACATTTATGGGAGATAAATAGGTTGAAAAATAAATTGCCTTAGTAATGAAAAAAACTAAATTTATATAGGAAACTATCTTGCCTAACAATGCATAATATGAGGTCAAAGTACTAAACATTGAAGCTTATGCTCAACCACTCAAAACATTAAATATAGCTATTTTGCAAGTTTCATATTTTTAAAAATTAAATTAGTTATCTTGAGAACTATCATCATTATAAGTCAAAATAGTAAATTTTTTTACGCTGCCACTGTCAATAATATCATGATGGTTATATACTTGAAGGCACTAGAGATTAAGTTAACCACTCCTATAGTATTTCATTAATTTACTCTTTTAACTCGTTGTTCCTATTCGTCCAAATTTCATCTTTTGCATTGAGGGTAACTACGACAAACTTTCCATTTCTATTACCCCAAACAAAGTGTTATTCATGGCAAGTAATACACCCATTTATAATTTTGCCACAAAAATATATATTATTTTAATGTTGGATCTTTCCTAAAAGTTTGATCTAAATTTAGCATTATTTATTTATTTTGTAGCTGAGGAATGGAAGTGTGGAATAATATGGCTTAATGCTCCTTAAATAATTTTATTATCTTGTTTCACTTTCCACCAGACAAAGTCTGGAATAATTATTTTTGTTTGTCAAAGATAAAGATGTTTTTAGCTTTCAATAAGTAATTTTTTTGTTTAGCAGTTGTGCTTATACTTCTATAGTCCTTGTCATAGCTATATAGTTTCTTTATGTTTTTATTTGTTGCACTTCTTTATGCTCGCCGGCTTGCTCGAGGTTCTCTACTACATGAGAGATCCTATGATGACACCCTCATAATTGTGTTTGCTACATGCATAAGAGAGCATAAGAGATCATCGTGAGATGGGGAGGGTTACTTATGCGCGAGATACTAAATAACACACACTATGAGTGTAATGTGTCATGCTCGCACTTTAGTAATTCTCCCCATCCAAAAAGAAAAAAAAAAGTTAAATAATAAAATTAAATATAATAGATTTAGTTAAATCCTTAAATGGAGAAATTAAATAGTGCACACTATGAGTGAAATGTGTTATACTCGCTAGTGCAGCAATAACACATATAATGCATGTTATTTTGATTATACGCACCTTGTTATATATATGCTAAATAGCACATGAGGTATGTCTTATGATATTTTGGGCTATAGTGCACGCTATTTTACACTAGTGACATTTATATCTGTGCTTTGTTATGCTTTACAACTAAATGAATATTCGTAATCATTTTTATATGACTTTTATATTGAATTTTTTTTCTTTTTAACCCAACTTTAACTTTAAATTATTTGCTTTTGATGATATCTTGCACTTAGGTTTATTCCTAAAAATTAGGTGACTTCGATAGACACATAAAATTTTTTGTATTGTTGTTGATAACAAGGTTATCGCATTGGAGAGCAGCTTACATTTTGATTAGAAGAAATACTTCAGGGTAGGATCTTGATGAAAAGTGATAAAATAAAAGAGAGAGAGCAAATAGAAGGGGAAAAAATAATGAGCCGTCATATAGTGGGGAATAGAGGGGAAAGCATTGAGGGCTTAATGAAGGCCCGTACCCTTCTTAGATATAGGATAAATCCTCTTGTAGTTATGTATATGTAGATATTTCACCCATTAACTATCTTATAGATATTTATAGTATGAAAGATTCCACCTCCTCTGGCACTCTACCTCATTTCCTAACCCATTTAAAATTTTTGTTTCAGCACAGTTAGAGAAGACTAGTGTTGTATTTTGTTTTTCCACTATCTTAATTCTTACACCAAAGTACTTGGGATTTAGTTTTTTCTCCGACTTGGTAGTCTTTAGAGGCGACTAGGGTTTTAAAGACTACAAAATTCCTTGTTAAATTGTTACAAGAGTATTGATAGAGATTCTTGACACTAAAGGTTAAGCAACTGATAGGAAACACTTGTAGTTTTCAAGTATTTCCTATCAATCTTTGGAAAACAGCAAAAATCTTCACAAAAGTCCGCACAAAAATGACAAAAACAGTAGATAACTTGTATGATTTGATGAAGGGAACACAGAAAATAGCAAGATACACTTGATCCTCAATTTGAGAGGAGGATCGTTCTCTCCCAAATCTCTAGATGCCGCTAGAGCCCAAAGAAAACCTAAATATAAGAGATCTCAAATTTCAGCCCAAATTCAAGATGCCCAAACCCTAGGAAAACAAACTATTTAATGCATACAAATCAAAAGGAAATCCCTAAACAGTCCCTACATTCAAATTTCCCTCTCAAAACCCTCAAAAAAGCTTCCTAAAAAGCTCCCGCACGGTGTGCGGCTCGGTCGACATCCCAGCGGGCATAGATTTCTCCGCCCAGTTCGCGCTGGGCCGGTCCCGCACGAACCGGCTGGACCAGTCCACTGGACCGGTTTAACAGTAACATGAGAATAACGTGTTTAGCCCCTATTGGTATTGTTGAAAACCTGCTAGTACTCACCTGTAGACTAAAGCTTTTAGGCTAAAAACTAATTTGGCCATTGATGTATATATTCAACTTTAGTCTCCTTTTGCTTCACGCTCTCTAACAAATGATTTCAAAGTTGATGGTTCATCTTCAATTATGTTGTTAATGCAGTATTGGCTCCTATGAGTCTTGGCCTATTCTACCGTGATTAAGCAATGTTCAAGAGGAGGTGATTCTCACAGCGGGTCCATATGTTTGATATTTTCTATGAGGGGGAGATTTTGATGGCAGGTGATATTGTACTCAACTGTAGACTTTAGCTTAAAAACTGATTTGGCCATTGGTTTATATTTAGTCTCCTTTTTCTTCGTGCTCCCTAACAAATGATTTCAAACCCGATGATTCGTCTGCAATTATGTCATCAATGCGGTATATGGCTCCTATGAGTCTTGGCCTATTCTATCATGGTTAAGCAATGTTCAAGAGGAGGTGATTCTCACAGCCGGTCCATATGTTTGAAATTTTGTATGATGATGTGATTTTGATGGCATTTGATATTGAAAAGATTTAGTTTGAATAGAATTGATGGTTGATGTGGAGAGCTTTTATATGAGGGAGATATTGTTAAGGCTTGTCAGATTGCTGGGTTTAGTCTCTCATTTGATAGTTGAAAAATATATAGTTGTAGAACAGTAGAAGTATTAAGTGGTTGGCCTTCATTCATAGGCATATGTTATAAGGTTGAAAATGAATTTTACCATTATTGCATCTATTTTAACTTCAATTCGCCTTTGATTCACACTTACATAAAAAAGAATCTTGTTGATCACAAGGAGCATAGATGCTTCTCTAAATTTTTTTACTACGCTATTATCTGATTGTCACCAGATTTGATAAGATCAATCCTAAACAGTTTGGATAAATCTAATGATGATTTATATATATATTTTTTTGTAATTTTTACCTTCTACATGTAGATGGGAAAGTATCGTGGAGCAGGACCATCAGCTACCTGGCCATATGACATTGTTATGATGTTCTGTGACCTATGTTTGAGAGAGATTGCTCTTGGAAACCGTCCTAGTACTCATTTTACCAAAATTGGATGGGCTAATCTAGTTGATAGTTTCAAGAAATGGACAGGCAAGGATTATGACAGGATTCAATTGAAAAATAAATGGGACCAACTTAAAAAAGAATGGAAGTTGTGGAAGGATTTGAAGAAGGGTGCAACTGGCTTTGGTTGGAACCCAAAGAGGAGAACTCTTGATGCCTCTGATGAATGGTGGAAGAAAAAGATCCAGGTATTGTTCTCCATTCCTTGAAACTGAGAAACTAGGCCTCTATAAGCAAACTTTGTTTACATTCCCGTCTCTCCTTACTCATAATATCTTGTGTTTTAGGAGTTTCCTGCTGCCAAAAGGTTTAGATATAATGGCATTGACCCTGTTTTGGAAGAAAAGCTAGATAAGATGTTTATGAATACGATACTGCCTGGTGAGCCTGCTTGGGCACCCAATTCTGGATCTTTTCCTACTGGCCTGACGGAGGATGGCCATGGAGATTTTGGAGATAGTGAAAGCACCAAATCTTTATCTGGGGATGCCAATTCATTGAACGAATCGCCACGACTTTCCAGTGGTTTAAAGAGAGCCTCCCAACCATCATCTCTAGCTAAAGGAAACAGAAGTAAAATGGTCTCTTCCAAGTCTGGAGTGTCAGGAGCTGCAGCTGAAGGGGTGCAGCAGATGCTTCAAACCCAGATCCAGGAATTAGTTGATGCAGCTACTAACAGTAACAAAGTCACAGTTGCACCGAGCAAGTCATTATCGTCTATCACAGAAGCTGTTGCAGAACTTGATTCCATCGAGGAACTTGAGGAAAACACAGAACTTTATGGTTTTGCTATTGACCTTCTAATGCAGAAAGATAGCAGAGAAATGTTTATGGCATTGAAACCCAACAAAAAGGTATGGTATCTTAAGATAGAATTCGAGAAAAGTAAGAGGAACACTTCTTAATGATTCTTTACTGCATTTGCTTGCATGAGCAATTACCATCTTTTCAACGACATGTAATTATTTCTTTTTCTTATATAGATGATGAGTTATTCTTGTGATTAATGTTAGCTCAACCTTAGGTTGTTTTATGAGGATGTCATTGTTATCATTTTTTTTTTAATATTTTCTCAATATGAAAACAACTATGCAGTATGAATGCTTTTGCTCATCTTTAAGATACTTTGCATTTGCCATACTACACATGCAACACCTTTCAAAATTTGAAGCTGGTTATGGGTTTATGGTCCTGCATGAAGAAGAAAGAGTAGAAAAGTGATAGGAAATACTTGAAGATTTCAAGTAAATCCTATCAAGAGAGCAAAAAAAGTGAGAAAATATGATGGAACTTCAAGAAAACACAAATTTTATTGTAAGAATAGAACTCATGAAGCAAGAAAAATAAGATACAAGTGATCCTCAATTCAAGAGGATGATCAATCTCTCCCAAATCTCTAGATGCTGCTAGAGCCCAAAGAGAACCTAAGGGATCTCAAATTTCTGCCAGATTCAAGATGCCCTAACTTTAGGAAAACAAACTATTTAATGCATACAAATCAAAAATTGGAAAGTTCTGCCTAGGGGAGAAGGGTGTGCGTTCGGCACGTATAGGAGAGGTGGAAGTTCCGCCTGCACCGGTCCCTTAGGGACCGGTCTAACAAGAAGCTAACAGCCATTAAACTGTGTGTGTTTGAGATAGAAAGTGAGAGCGGGGCTTATAGTTGGTTTAAGGTTTGCTTTACCTTCTTTCTTCTCTAATTGCTTCAAACATTTGAAAATGGAGAAATGATTTGATGTTGCTGTTTGTTTTGGCATGCATGTGTTTATTAATTTAACATCAATTCAGCAGATGAAGACTCAATAGAATGTTTTAATATGAGCCTTTCTTGTCTAACCCCACCAATAGATGCTTGAGAGCTCATTCCTTCCTGTGGCCTATATTCAAGCTTTGAAATAAAATAAAATAAAAAATATTCAAGCTTTGAAAGTAGAAAAGTGTTAGAATTTTCTATGACAGAGGTCTCAACCACCGCAAATTATTTGGTCTGGAGTCCGGACATAGGACTCCAATTAAATTTGTACACGTGTAATACAGACACGTAGAGATTTACTACACGCTTTTTGCATGAAATTTTTTTTAGAAATTTAAGACGTGTAATTTGCTGCCATTTTGCTGCGCTTTTACTACGTTTTTGCTGCTCTTTTGCTATGTTTTTGCTACCTTTGCGCTTTTGCTGCGCCTTCTCTGTGCTTTTGTTGTGCGTTTATTTTTGCTGCCCTTCGACAAAAAACATAAAATGACCTAAAAAAATAAAATTCAATTAAATATCAACGTGTTCGCATTACACGTGTACAAATTTAATTGAAATCTGGATGTAACTCTACCTCCGGAATTTGCACCAAATAATTTGCCCTCAACCACAGAGGAGATGAACTCTGAATATTTAATATGATAACATTTCTATGGTTGGAAACGGGGCTCCCATTACTATCTAAATGCTACATGTAAATTACACAAATTCAGCTTCACTGATTTTATTTTGGGAGCTGCATTTTCATCTTTTTTTTAGCCTTTTTTCATATGCTTAATGACACATCTTTTCTTGATAAGCATTGATGCTTTTATTTGGCAATTTTTTTTTTTTGGACTTTCAGTAAATTTAATTACAAATATGTATCTACAAGTACTTGTTATTTAAGGTTAATAAATAGATGAATTGTTAAAATTCATTATATTTTAATTCATTCAAAATTGAACTAAATGAACCAAAATATAGTTCGACTTGATTTGAAAAATAGTTTGATAAGTCAAATATTTTAAATTTTACAATCAAACTTAATTAATTTTGGCTGATTTGAAATTAAATTATCAAATCATTCAATTGTCAATATTTATTTATATATTTAAGTAAATTCAAATTGGAGAAATTATTTTATGTGGTCACCGAACGGTCCAAAGACGAATCAGCATGTGCCACATCACGTGGACCGAACGATATATAATAGTGGTACATAGCAAAAAAATGACGTGACACGTTTTCATTCGCCTCTGGATACAGTTCGATGACCGCACAGAATAATTTTTTTCTCAAATTGACCTTTAACTAATCGCGGGCCCTCAACTCAAAGCTTAGGTTGAGTGTTATTACAAAGGGCTACCTTAAAGTTTGATTTGAACTGCCATGCTGTTGAAGTTATTGTGCTTCATTTAAATAATCTAATTATGTAATAGAAGAAATAGGCTCTGAACGAGAAAGCTACTCTTCAGCGTCGGAGGTAAGAGAGATTTTTCTTCACGAAGAACTTAAGTTTGGCCCTTTAAAATTCAGCAATGGCATTAATAAATTAGTATGTATGCAGGTTCATGAAGAGCATGTGAACTTATTTATGCTTATATGTCAACGCAAGGCTTGTTTTGAACTTTCAATGATATTGACCTATCATTGATAATTGCAACTTGTTGTCGTCGAGATCCTCATTTGATTATTGTTGATTGGCGTCGAGTGATTGACGATGATATGATCGTGATGATTAGTCCTCAATATATACATCTGTTGATTGTTGATTATAGAGGCCGATATGTCGAGATTGAAAATGATGAACTTAGATATTTAGGTCGCTTAAAATATTAAGATATTTATCTAGAAAATTTATTTCATTAGTTGGGTGATGGAGTTCGAGTTCGAGTCAAATGATGCTTGACTCATTGACTCATCGAGCCGCTCGAGAGCCAAAGACGGACATGGATGCGAAGCAGGAGGAATCACATGAAATGTGAATAGCGTAGAAGGCGGATTCGAGTGCGGACGTGAAGCGGAAGGTGGACTTGAGTGCAAAAACGAAGTGGAAGCTTAGACACGGAAGGCGGAATCGTGCTTGGATGCGAATCGGAAGCCAAACTCAAGCATGGACATGGAAGGGGGAATCGAATCCCGGAAGGGCAGATCATGAGCTACCTCACGAGGCGGGCTCGTGTTCAAGCTAGCGACTTGGCCGACGAGCAGAGCTTGAGTTAAGCATGACTCGAGCTTGAGCTCGACTTGCTTACACCCCTACCTATGATTGACCCGACTGCACCTTATGTTGGGGCGACCATTAATTAATTACAATTTAATTATAATTTCCTATAAATATAATTTGTTAGTTAGACCAAACAAATTGAAAATCATTCAATAACACAATGCATACAACTAAAATTAAGTGTGCTTTATGAGTCCCATCAAAGAACCAAAAAAAAAAAAAGAAGCTCTCATTGGACATTGTTAGGTCTCCTCACCTAACCCAAAAATACTCCTTTGCCACACTCAAATCACTCATTATATGACTTAGATCCCAAACTACCGCCCTTTTAGTGCTGCAACCCATCAATCAGCAGCAAGGATTTATCATCCCAACTGTTAGCAGAGAAGATCAAATAGAAAGGACAACCACATTGAACCGCTTTTAAAAGCTATATTTTGTCTAACTAAGAATTTTTTATTAAAATAATTAAAATTTTATTTTAAGAAGCAATAAAAAAGCTGTCCCAAATGAAGCCTAAATTTTTATTTGGAACACATTTTCGACTGCTTTCGTGATAAGAAAAATAATTAGTAAAAAATAATACTTATTTAAAAAACACTTTTTCATCATAATACAATGGATATTATTATTATTATTTATGTTATAAAAGTTCTTAATCACATATTAATATATAATTAATGTATAATTTATGTTGCGTGTTAGAAAATACGCGGCGGTAGAGTTTGTAAATTCGCGTCTGAGCGTTGTACGTAAGTTTAACACACAAACAGGAAAAAGGAATGAACACCAAGAGTTTTTACGTGGAAATTCTAACACGCAACAATTTATATTATAAAAGTACTTAATCACATAATTAGTGGACTTTTAAAATGCAAAGGAAGTTCAATAGAACATGAAAGAGGTAGGAAAACTCACATGATGGTTTATCTCAACCTGCAAAATAATGTAGAGATTCAAAGCTAGCAGGGGCTATAGAGTTCCTAAAAAGTATCCAATATTTATGTAAGGCTTCATTTGAGATAATTTTTTTGTCATAATTTTTTTACTGCTTTCAAGAAATTTTTATACTAAAAAATGGTTGTAGAAAACAATAATAAAGCTGTCCTAAACGAAGGCTATGATTTTGAGAAATTTATTGTGTTTATCATCACAATCAAATCATACTTAAATGTGTATAAATGGCAATAGGATGCAATCATCTATTGATGATGAATGTAGAGCAACTAAAATTGTATTATAACATAAAATTTTAAATTTACAAGCTCTAAATGATAAAGTTCTTATGTTGCAATGATTAAGGGTGCGTTTGGGACGGCTGCAGCTGTCAGTAAAGCAGGTTGTGAAGTTACTGCACAGAAAGCTGCTTTCTGAAGTTGCTGTATAGAAAATAGTATTTTTTTTGTTTGGGTAGTATAATTGTAAAACTGCTTTGCTGCAGCTGTATAAGAATAATTTACATTACTACCCTCATTTTTAAAAAAAATTAAGATATATAAATTCAGAAAAAATTTTCTTCCGACTTTGTTGTAGTTGTATTATTTTGTACAGTAACTTATCCCATAAGACATCACGCATATGAGCATAATGGATATCAAAAGTTGCGGATAACAGAGCAAATTAAAGAATAAAATAGAGCAGTTTTATATATTATTAATGCCTTTCGGAGCAAATTAAAGAATATATTACTTAGGAAATTACAACAGTAATAAATTATGTTTAACAAAATATAAAAACAACTTCTATTGCATTAAAATTGTCTATAAACAATACATAAAAACAATCAAACTAATGAGAAAATTGGCATCGCTTCTGTTCTTCCTGATGCTTCCCAATACAAAGTGGATATGCTACTGGCTCAGATGCCAGACCTCTCGTTCATGCTTGAGGAATCACAGCAGTTCCTGATGCTTCCCTATATTCCGAAGAAGCCCAACAGTTTTGAGTTGAATACTTGATTCCCAATACAATCCATAAAGTTTGTCATTTATCCCAATTTCAAGTTTGTTTGGCTTGTAGCAATGAGTATCATACCTTTGGAGCAAGCAAGAATGAGAGGATTATAGAAGAAAATAGCTGGCTAGAAAGAACCGAGTCAAGCATTATTGAAAGGATGAATCCTTGATAAAAAACGGTCTTTTAGGA